AATTTGATCCTCTGGATGTGTGTGGGTGTGTGCTTTGTCAACACAGTCCATGATAAAATTCCCTTTCCAGCTGAATCTGAATTTTGAGCATCCCTTTCTATCAGAGACAGAGTCATGTAAATGAAATGCAAAAAACAAATAGTGGTAAATACTCATTGGTACTAGACATTGGCTCCCTGGAAACAGAACAAGTCAGAGGGGTGCAAAAAGTTAAAAGCAATTTCGACCTTCTAGAGAGCAGGGAGGTGGAGTGGTTAAGTGTGCAGGCCATTGGAAGTTCAAATGCTGCTTTATCAGTCATTTGCCGTGTGACCTTGAGCAAGTTACTTACTGTCTCTGTGCATTACTCTTCTATCATGTAAAATGGGGAAAAAGAGTCAGTCTCCTCACGGGCAGGAGTAAATGAATTAGCATCTGTAAGGAGCTGGTCAGTCTTAAACTGTGGTGGGAAGCCCAGCTGGGGGAATAAAAGAGGAATAAAAGAGATTATGCTAATCAGGATGGGAAGACTTCAGCATAAAACAGATGCCACGGGTTTCAGGCAGCTTTCAAAAAAAGTTTAAAAATACATATGTAATTAAATTCTCACAATGTAAAAATTTCAAGCAACATAGATAAAGTTTAAATCCTCTCGGTCACACTTCCTTTCCCAGAGGTGATTACTATTGTCAGTTTCATGGGATTGCTTCCCTATCTTTTTCTTTGCATGTGTATACATATGTATGTTTCTATAGAAATCCATGGCTCTGCTTGACATTCTTTTTTTCCCTTTTTTAAAAAAAATACCAACATCAAATGCTGTCTCGGAGCTCTTTTTTTTTTTTTTTTAAGATTTTATTTATTTATTTGAGAGAGAGAGCACAAGTAGGGGCAGAGGGAGAGGGAGAAACAGACTCCCTTGCTGAGCAGGGAGCCTGATCCCGGGACTCTGGGATCATGACCTGAGCTGAAGGCAGACGCTTCACCAACTGAGCCACCCAGGCGCCCCAATGTTTTGGAGCTCTTTCCATGTCAGTGCTCATAGATTTATTTCGTCTATGTGCGGCCAAATGTTTAAGTGTAGGCATGTACCATGGTTTGATCATTCTTCGGGTAGTTTCTTAAAAATTATTTTCCTATTAGTTTAAGAGCGGTAAAAAATATTTATGTTACTGTCCTCTTTCTAAAATGCAGGATTGAACACGTGGCTGCAGCTATCCTCAATCTTCAGAGGGTCCCCATTTCTGAAATAGGGCACACATTTATGCCCCCTTGTATCTCTGCTCAGCTTGGCAGCCCCCCTTCTCTGACCAGCCATCCATTCCTACACTCATTCGATGCTCATCCTAGCCTAAATGAACACCAGGACCACCCTTGGTCACTCTCGCAGCTGGAAAAAATTGTGTGTGTGTGTGTGTGTGTGTGTGTGTGTGTGTGTGTGAGATTCTAAGGCTCTTTGTACCTTTTTCACTTCTCCATACAGCAAATATTTGTCAAGTGCCTACCATCAGTCTGTCTCCTGTCTGTCACCGTGACTTGGCTGTCAGTTCCTGGAGGGATGAGATCATGTCCCATGCATAGGGGTTTCCAGGGAGAACAGATACCCTGGTTTGCCCAGCGTGGTTCCAGTCTCACCTCTTATCTGGGTGAAATTATTGGTAGTGCCCCCTTTCACTCTGGTTTAGATGAGAAATCATACCATCACTTTAGTTTTATGCACAATAGATGCTTACAATAACAGTTAATTGGAAAAAAGAATGGATATGGCAGATGAATGAATGTAATTTGCTTCTCACATTTGGAGATGCCATCTTACTCTGAGTTGAAGCCTGGAGAAAACACACTACATTGTGGACAGGTCATTTCACCCTGGGCTCTGTTGCCTTTGAGGGGTTTATAGGAATCCTATAATCCCCAGACATATGCTTGCAGGTAGTGGGGCATTCTTGTTGTAAGGTTCTAATGGGCCACACTAAGAAATGACTGGCACAAAGGAAACATTTATGAATAAAAGAGCTGATGACCCACTGGACTCAGGTTAGGAAGCTGCTTCTCAGACGGGGTGGTCCAGAGCAGAGGCTCAGCAGGTGGGTCTGGAGTCAGATCACCCTGGTGGGAATCCTGGTTCCGCTACTTCCTGCTGTGGAAACTTGAGCCAAGTCACTTCCTCCCTGAGCCTCAGTTTTCTTATCTGTAAAGTGGGGATAGTAACCCCACAGCTCTGTGGGGGGGAATCAGAGGCAATGAGGAATGTAAAATATCATATGAAATCATCTCTATTTGATCATTTTGACCTTCAGAACGGCTTTTCACATAGTTCAAGCTGGCAGGTCCCTGGCACGTAGTCAGTGAGTAAGAAATGGTGGCTGTTAACAACTCACATCTAGTTGGGCTGATCTTTCTGTTTCCATTGCCTAGCCAAACAGGCGTTTCTTTCATTCAAAGCGTATTTGGGGCACGTGGGTGGCTTGGGGCGCCTGGGTGGCTCAGTCCGTTAGGCGTCCGACTCTTGATTTCAGCTCAGGTCATGATCTTGGGGTTGTGGGATCGAGGCCTGTGTCGAGCTCTGTGCTCAGCTCAGAGTCTGCTTGTCCCTTTCCCTCTGCTCCTCCTCCCCACAAGTTTGCTTTCTCTGTCTCTCTCAAATAAATAAATAAGATCTTAAAAAAAAAAAAAGTCTTTGCCGAGTGCTATGTGCCAGGAATTGCAGGAGGTAAGTAGAATAATCCTTATAACATTTCCAGTAGCGGGGTAGCATGTAAGGAGGGCTCCAGAATGCAGGTCAGAGACTGGTCCGTAAGAGTCATCTGGCAGCAAACCCATGACGGACAAAATGGGCCTTTGCTTATAGAGCATGAGGGGCTGCGGCACAAGCAGGCTTGACCTGAACCTGGCACTTTGCTTCCAGACTAGCTAGAGAAGCCCAGACCTTTGTTTTCTCAGAGATCAGGGCTCAAAAGGAGCCTGGGCTGCCCAGAGGTGAAGCACAAGTGAAAAGGCAGATTTCTCACATGAGCCAGCCTGGAGACAAGGCAGCAGAGCTGAGCTTTCTGCCTGGGCATGTCCTTTTTCTGGTTGTTCAGCTGGTGGATGAGATTCCACGTGCTGTCATTTGATGTCACTCACTATATTTAGTTACCAAAAATATTGCTCTCGGTCCCCTGGACCTGATGCCACTTGGGTGAAGATCCTGGATATATACCACTGGGCAGGCAGAATTCATCCCTGGCTGCTCTTTTATTTTGGGGGGAGGGATCCCACTTCCACAAGCTTTTGGCTCTGCTGAGGTATGGATCAGGTCCCATCTGGAATGAAGGGTCTGAGATAATGGAGACTTCAACTCCACTCACTGGGGACCTGCAGACAACATCCCGCAGTAACATGCAGACTCGAGTTGTATTCCAGACGACAGTGAGGGGAAGGAGGCTAGAATCGAGGCTGTTCTATTTTCTATGAGGCTGGTGGGGGTTCTCATCTTGACAGCAGGCAGAGGTGGCATGGCCAAAGGTACTCGCCTTGCTGAGGGAGAGGCCAGTTCTGGTAACATGGCAGCAGCTACACTCAGGCAAGAGGACCTTCTGGAGGGGCAAGGCTCTGTGCAGTGGCGCTGGGAAGGGCTAATGTCTATTTTATGCTTCTCTTTTCGGTATTATAATAATAAACTTTTGTTAGCCATTGCAGTCAGACTAGCTGGACACTGGGGATTTAAGAAATGTGCCTACTCTTATAATTGGGCTCAGCCTGGCAGAGAAGATTCTAGAACTATGCTTTCAAATGTGGTAGCCACTTGTGGCTAATCTGAATGAAGATGTCCTATAAGTAGAAAATTTAAAATTACATGCGTGGCTTGCATTACATTTCTATTGGAAAGTGCTGTTCTAGAAGTCTCAGGGTGACTTCCAGCCATCGTGTAGGTGAGTGGCCAGGATAGGAAAGCACCACCAGGCTGGATTTAACACACCACCATCCCTTGGGGAGTCTCAGAAATTGGTGGTTGGGGAAACCCTAGTGAAGATTGTCATTGCTGTGGCTTGGGCCACCTTAGTTGGGTATAAAAGGGAAGCATGAACTCAGAGAGCTGGACCACGGGTTAAGTCTGGGAGTATGAGAACTAGTGGTTTTCATTTTGCAGTCTCTTGTTAAGATGGCTTCACCAACACATCAGTCCAGAAGTCCAAGATGGGGCTGAGGGGTAAGAAGCCCCCAGGTCCATCCCAAAGAGCTCAGGAGTGGCTTCCAGGCTCAGCAAACAACTAGGTGGCTTTATTTTTGGGCTTTGGAGAGTTTGTTCACAAAGATCCTGTTAGACCATGGCTATGCAGTATGGATTTTTATAACATGGGTCAAATCACAAATGTCCACATGTAACAATTCCATATTATAAGAACATGATATGATCCAGAGCAGTGGACACTGTTGGTGCCCTACCAGATCCTCTTTTGGTTGTGAGCCCATTCCCCAGCTCCTGTGATTTTGCTGCTAACTGCAGCTGTGATCCTCTTTAGATGATTGCTCATGGGCTACTGGTGCCACCTTACCCATTCAGAGAGCCAAAGTCCCCATAGCCAATGACTGGCTGGTGCAGGTGTACAAAACTCTGCCTCTAGGTGGGACAACTCTGAGCTGCACTTATGCTCCAGAGCTCTCCAGTGATCAGGCTGAGGCTACACCTCAAGTCATAGTCTTATTTGGCTTCTTCCCTTTCCCTGTCCTGTACCCTTCACTTAATAAATAATAAATAAGTTGTTCTCAGTTGCTCACTTCAGGGTCTGCTTCTGGGGAACACCACCAGAAAAACACAGCCAGACTTTATTGTGGGTATTGGTCTTGACCTTGGGTGGTGGCCATGTAATACACATCCATTGAATGTGTGGGGGATTCCAAACTCTTGAGATACCTTTGCTGAGCCCTGACCTTGTGTCCAGAAGAGCAGGTGTTGCAAGACCAGAACAGTGCCCCTGTCTGGCCTGCTTCACTCCAGGCTGTGTTGATGAGGCAACAACAAACATCACACCAACACATGACTTCCCCTCTGATGGTTTATTTTATTGCTATTTAATTAGGCTCTTCCCCAAACATCTTTCCATCTCCATCATGGTCTCTCGTCCAGAAAGTTGAAACTGTGCCCTGCTTCTTTCCATCTTCATGGCATCCCCCCCTTCTCTCTTACACAAAATATTTCAAAATAAAGATCGAAACAGGAACTTAGTTGAGTTTTGCAACACAGAACTGTATCCTAGGCCTACATTTATAGAAAGTGGGGGGTGGGGAAGAGCGATGAGTCCACGGGGACCGGGGGAGGTGTGCACGCTGAGGGTAGTCACACGGGGCAGGGTGGGCAAGCAAGATGGAAATATGAGTCTGAGTCCTGGACGCTCCAGAACCGTCAGAAATTACCAACTTACCGATGGGGAGAGTTTTAGAAAAATCTATAAACACACACTGTCTCCACATGGGAGGTGCTCACTTCCTCTTAAGGTGGACTAAAAAAAAAAAAAGAAAGAAAACCCCAAACCCCACATTAACTTAATACACACCCACACACACACACACACACACACACACACACACACACACGACAAACTCTAAGTCTCCAGATGAACAAACACTTTCAAATAGGCACTTGGTGTTTTCAGCTCTGGGGTTGCAGAGATCTGGGGCTTTGGCCCCCAAAGTCAGGGGCACAACAGTTTCTGAAGACTCTGGGGTCTGATCTGTCGGATGTTACTGGCCCAGCTGGGTGGGAAAGGAGGCCTGGTTGAAAAAGAACCCTCCACCTTCATCCAAAATAGTGATTTGCAGGAAGACCTGTGCCCTGGGCATTTCCTGAATATAGTGGTTTGCCGCTTCTAAAGAGCACATCACTAAAAGGGCAAATGCTGGCCATTTGGATGTGGACAGTACATGTTGAGAACTGACTGGCTCCAGGAGGCAGGGACCAGGCCCAGTGTGCTACTAACCACCATATACCTCAGAACCCAGCACTGTGCCTGGCACTTAGTAGGCACACAACAAATGTTTGCTGAACGCGTAAATGAAATAACCCAAGAAGAAAATCCTGTTCTCCCAAGAATACAAATTTATAACCCTCTCATTGGCTATAAACTGGTTCTTTTTAGCCTGCAAAATGGAATTCTAATATCACTTATTCTCCTGACATCAGCTGGCCCTCCAGGAAATTTTTTTTAGTTGAAACCGAGTCTTTTGGGTTGGAGCCAGGGAATTAATCTGGTTATGTAAATGAGCGGGTGTTCAGCAAATGTGCTGGTGAACTTCCATGGGAGAGACAGTCTGTGTCTAAGGTCAGCAGCTGGTCCAGAACTGGCTGTTGGGCTGGAGGCCAGGCCAGGTCCTTAGATGTTGGGTCTAAGGTCTGGGGAGAAGAGGTGGGTCTTTAATCATATCCTGGGGGCAGGTCTGAGCCTGGCTGATGGTGAAAAAGTCCCTATCTAGCTGCTTAGAGGGATGGCATCAGGAATAGGAAGTGGAGGCATGCGAGGAGGGGGGCCAGAGACTGCCCAGGGAATGGAGAACCAGGCAGGAGAAGGGTATGGCTGAGCCCGGGCATCTACACCCACGGCGCTCTCAAGTACAAGGACGCTGGTCTGGGGGGACCCCCCCCCCAAGCATTTGGGAGAGCCTGTGTCCATCAGAAAGATGAGGTATAAGGAGCATCTTGGAAATGGAGAGGTCCGATTAAATCCACTTCTGGGGAAGGTTCTAAGCTAAATTATTGGACCCTCAGGGAATGGGGAAGCTAGTCAGTGATGTCTACACTGCAGAGAGAAAGCCAAGGGGATCTGAGAGAGGCCGGGAAGGAATGAATAATTGGAGGCAGCCACCTGCACACCCCAAGGGAGCTGAATTTGAAATGATGACAGCAGTTCAAGGTACGTCTGGGGCCCCAGGGTCCCTTTCCATGGTATCTACCTTGACCTTCAGGGCATGGCTGCCAGAGCTGGCGATCCCAGAGCCTCCAGAACCTTCTTCCCTTCTCCCTTCCTTCAATTTTGGACAAGAGACTAAGGACTCTTTGGGGAATGGTTTGGGTACAGAGTTTTTGTTTCTTTGTTTTTCGTGTCAGGGCTAGACAGACACTAGCCAAATGCACAGCTATTTTCAGGAAGGACCAAGTTGAGACTCATCAGAGGTGACTTTGGTGGACGCTGGGGTCCTTCTGAGAGATGGCAAAGTACAGATATCCCAAATCCCTACCCCCTTCCTGGAGGCCTCCGGGGGTGGGGGCGGCGGGGCAGTCCAGGCCTTGTCAAGTCCTTGCCAGGCAGGGGGAAAGCTCTTGTGGGGGAGTTGGTGCCAGGGGTCTGGAGAAGGAAGGGAGGAGAGACATGCCAAGGCCCCTGAAGCCCGACCGTTGTGTTTTCTCTTTTTGGTAATGCAAGTGCCTGATTTGGGCTTTGATTGCTGAGGTATCCATTTCAAAGCAAGCTATCTCCAATAAGCACGTTGCCAGCCACAGGACTAGATTAAAGTCCAGGCTTCCTCCTCCCCCAGGCTCCTTTGTTTTAGAAATCTTGGCTGGTTTCTAAAGCTGACCATTTGGGCCCCTTGATTTTCCTCATCCTGAGTTTTACATTCCTGCTTTTATGTTTTAAATTCACCAATAAAGAAGGAGCCCGCAAAAGCCCTGGCCCCCACCCTTGACCCCCCAAAAAAGCAGAACCCCAGGCCTGTCCCATCTCTCTCTCCCTGCAACTTTGCTATGTGGCCCCAGGTGTGCTGTGCAATTTCCAGGTCCTGGAAATAATCATCCTTCCCCCCCCCCCGCCCCAAGTTTCCTGACCATTATTGCTGAAGGGTGTCTCGCAATTGTAAGAACCACGAGGGCCGGTCCTGCCACAATCCTGGTTAGTGACAGGCTGAGACCCGCACAGCACAGCCCCCCACAGCTCAGGGCACCATGTGCCACCACTTGAAGGAGAAGGGCTTCCTGCGGACGTTAGTGCCGCAGTGCACCTCCCCCAGAAACTTGTGGTAGGCGGAGATGTCATCCACGAAGGTGCAACAGAGGCCCAGGGGCTCCAGCAGGGAGCGCACGTGCGTCTCCAGACAGCACACCTCCTCCACCTGGGGCCCGAACGGCTTAGGGATGCCCAGGTCCTTGTCGAGCACAATCATGTTCACCTGTGATGGGGGTGAGGCAACAGCTCCCATTTAATGAGCACCTACTACCCGCTGGGCTCTGTTCTAAGCTCTTGGGCATTCCTAACTCCCCTATGACGTAGGTGTTGTGATCATCCCCATTTTACAGATGAGGAAACCGAGGCACGGAGGGGGCAAAACAGCTCATACATGGCAGAGCTGAAGTGGAAAACCAGGGGACCTACCTCGGCACACATGTGTGTATAGGTACCAGCACGTGGTTATATGTGTATGAATGGGTGTGTGCATGCAAGTGTGTATCTGTGTGTGTGTGTTCTAATCCCCCTCCGTCTCCCAGAAGACTCTCCTCTATTGACAACAACATCCCTCCTGTCCGTAAAGGCCTTTTTTTTAACTTAGAAGGTACTTTCCTATCTGTTAAGGGAAAGGATTTCCCAGAACCCCAGGGAGGCAGCTAGGATGAGCATCTCATCCCTAGGAGGGAATGCAGCCTGGAAGGGGGAAGGGCGGGGGGGGGGGGGGGGGGGCGCGGCGAGGCCACAGAGCGGCTCAGCCAGGACGGGGACCTGGACCTCCTGAGTGAACAGCCCCAGCCAAGGGGTCCCTCGGAGTCGTTCTGGATCTGGCTGCCCCTGATTGGCCTCGATGAGGTTTGGGGCCCAGAGTGCCTCACCATGTTTGGGAAGTAGGCTCTGGCCTGGCGGTTCTCATCCATCTTGAACAGAGCAGGCAGATCGATGATGTCCTGCTCTGTCAGCCCCAGCTCCTTCTTGAGGATGTCACGGTTCCAGTCCAGGCAACGCTGGGTGAGGGGAGAAAAGGGAGGCCAGGCAAGTGAGGGGACACTCCTGCCACTTTGTCAACACTGCTCCTGTCTGCAGCAGCAGACCCTGGGCCCCAGCACTCCAGGGAGAATTCTAGCGCTCACCTAGCCCCCCGTCACCTCTCCAGTGCCCCTCCTACCAGGGTCCGGTAACAGTGGTAACAGAGAGGGAAGACAGAAGATCACAGAAATCATGCTTTTAGATAGAAATGAGATGGGGACTCAGAAGGTGGGATCCATTCATGGCAAACTTCCGGGAACTCTGAGCCCCTAAAATAAATAAAAGTCCAGGGCATATATTGACACTGGCATTTTTCTAGAGGGCAGTCTGGAGCTTGCGTCATATTTTATTTATTTATTTTTTAATTAATTTGTTTTTTAAGTAGACTCCATGCTGGGCATGGAGCCCCATATGGGGCTTGAAATCATGACCCTGAGATCAAGACCTGAGCTAAAATCAAGAGTCGAATGCTTAACCGACTCAGCCACCCAGGCGTTCCTACGTCATATTTTAAAGGGCCCCAGATGTCACGGGCTCTAGACTTACAGAGCTCTTGGCTCTTTGGCACTGTCTGATATGCTTTCCTTCCCTGGTTTCCTGTCTGCTTCTGGCCTCTGCTGACCTGCATGCCTGCCTTCGTCCCTCCATTTAGCTTCCGGCTTTAGCACAGGAGCAATGCAGGAAGGCTGGACCAAATGCTCATGGAGGCCCTTCCCTCTGACATGTGCCGTTGGTCCTTTCCTCTGGAAGCTGTGAGGATGTGAGCGGTGTCACTGGGCACAAACCCATCCCTCCCAGGGCCCCCTGCTCCGCCCTCACCTGGAAGTACTGGTTCTCTTGCACGAGGCTCTCATTGGATAGAATCTTGTTGATGGTGATTCGCTTGCTACTCATCCCGCCCAAGCCTGTTGAAGTCAGAGGTCATAAGGGAGAGTCTGGCCTCAGGTACCCAGCCAGGGTGCTCCCCTCTATCAACCCCCACCCCCAGCTTTTGGGCTAACTGCTGGGAGGAGGGAGATGGAGCTGGGACAGGCTGGGACACAGGAGGGGAGCCCCCGGGAACCCAGGACCCTCTGCCAGGGTGACCATGTTGCTTGGACCAGGGACGAGGGGGTGGTGCCTTGCTCTCTTTCTGTCCAGAGGGTGGGGTGGCACAAGTAGGTATCTGGGTCTCCTACCTGGAGCCTACTTCTAAGGATAAACAGCTGATCAGGGTGAGGGTGGTGAAAGCAGATACCCAGAGGTCACCCTTCTGTTTTCCAGACCTGCCTCATGCTCGGCCCCTGCCCTGGTCGCGCTGCCTGCACCTACCTCCTAGTTCACACATGGATTTTGGTTTGATTAGTGATACCTAACACTCATCGAGCATCTACTGTGTGACAGGCACTCTTCTAGATGTTTTACAGGGATTAACTCAGGAATCTTTCCTGCATTTCAATGAGGTACCCGCTAGCATTAAAGATGGGGAAATGGAGGCACAGAGAAAGTAAATGTCTTGTCCAAGTTCTTATAACTAGTGCCAGAGCCCGCATGCAGACCAGACAGTCTGATTTCAGAGCCTAAGCTGTTAATAATAATTCTTCTTCTTCCTCTTCCTCCTCTTCTTCTTCCTCCTCCCCTTCTCCTCCCCCTCCCCCTCCCCCTCCTCCAACTTCTCCTCCCCCTCCCCCTCCTCCAACTTCCCCTCCCCCTCCTCCAACTTCTCCTCCCCCTCCCCCTTCTTCTTCTTCTTCTTCTTCTTCTTCTTCTTCTTCTTTCTTCTTCTTCTTCTCCTTCTTCTCCTCCCCCTCCCCCTCTCCCTTCTCCTCCTCCTCCTCCTTCTCCTTCTTCTTCTTCCTCTTCCTCTTCTTCTTTCTTCTTCTTCTCCTCCTTCTCCTTCTATTTGGCCTGATCTGAGAAGAGTTTCCTGGTCCATTGCACTTCCCAGTCTCGCAGCTTGTCCGTGGCAAAGAGATTGGGGCTGTCACGCCCTGTTCCTGCACCATCTCCACACCCCACTTGGACCCATCTGTACAAAGATAACGGTTTCTATATCCTATGGGTAGCTTTAGGGTATGATGAATATATAAAGAAGCCTCCAGAAAATCCAGACTCGTGCCTGCCAATCCAAGGAAAAAATTTCCCATTGGTGGGGAATCAAAAAAGGACAGAGGGCTTAAACTGGCCTTGTCCGCTCTAGATACCAGTCACTATCAGGAACACTGCCTTCGGATCTGGTGGGCAGTGATGTATATAATGTATCAACCAGCCCTAGTAACACGACTTTTGGGAGTAGGCAGATTGGAGATACCAACCTGAAAAGTGACACAAAGTACTGTAAGAAAAACATGGAAGGAAGAAATTGTCATGGCCTCTCCAACCTGGCTCACTGTCTCCACCTGATCAGCTTTCCCTCTTTCCATGATTACTTTAAGAGCACACAGCTGATCCCCATCAGCAGCTGCCCCAAGTAAGGGGATATCTACATGAAGCGGGTAATTTCTCCCTCTGGGACTGACGGTGATGAGGTCTGACTCCAGATCATGTCTATCTACTCTCACTTTTCTTCCCGTTCCTAACTTGCATTGTGTACGTTTTTCTCTATCTCCTTTTCAAGCTCCTCGTATACAGATCGCATGTCAGTTAACTCTCTTTTGGGCCTGGTGCCATTTAAAGTAGACGCCAGGGCCTGAAGAAGCATTTGGCACTGCTGACGATAATAAGGAGCAGTGGGTGGCTCGAGGGTCTCGCTGACCACAGCGAGGGTCACTAGAGGCCAGGGCTCCTTCCCACCATGGTGACCTCACAGCCTGGAGCAGGCCAGACGCCCAGGGAAGGGGAGCTGGATGCCCAGGGGCAAAGCGATCACCTGCCCCATCCTCCTGAGCATCTCCCTGGGGGCTCAGCTCCCTACTCCCTGCCAAGGTTCCGTGGGCACCCACCTTTGAACATGATGGCCTCCCCGTGGCCCTCCCTCTGCTTCTCTCGAAAGAGCTTGTAGCAGGCTGAGGTACTGGCCATGAGCATCCGGAATTCCTGCGAGAGGATGTCCAGAAGGGACAGTGTCAGCAGAGGGGAAGGGGCCAGGGAGCACAAGGGAGTCCCTGGGGACTCGGAGCCCTGTCTGCCTCTTGTCTCAGGTCTCCCCGTGCCAAGGGGCAAAGGCGGCCTGGCAGGGTTTTCTCTGCTTTGGGGGAGTATTTCTCACCCTTCCTGCTATAGAAATTCCTTCACCTCAGCAATGCCATCGCGTCAAAGCTCAGAGTCCAAATGGGCTTTGGACAGGGTGGAAGTGTGTCTCCCAAGAGGATGGGCCATTTGTGCGACATTTCTAGGGTATGACGTTGCAGCCATTCCTTTCACTTCAGAAAGTGAAAAAGCCCCAGACCCGTACCCCAGAGCTCTGTAGAGCATCACGGCAAATACAGTAGCCACCAGCCCTGTGATTATTGGACTCTTGAATTGTGGCTAATCTGAATTGAGATGTGTGGTGAAGAGTAAAATGCACACCAGATTTTGAAGACTTGGTATGAATCAAAGAACATAAAATCTCTCATTAATATTTTTACATTGATTACATGTTGAAATGCTAATACTTTGGTATATTGGGTTAAATATTTACCCGCCACAGCGACAACAGGCAAACCAACTTGAGCCTACTTCCTTCTTCCTCTATGCAGTCCCCTACCTGTAGACCCTGCCCCCAGCTGACAAGAGCTGGTATTACATGGGTTCTCCATCATCCTAATCACTCTAGCCTCAGGGGCCAGCTCACCTTTGTGCCCGGGATGGGGACGAAGGTCATGAACTCGTCCACGTGGCCCACGGTCAGCCAATCTGAGTAGAGCTCCACAGGCGCCTGCACCTGCTGGGCCTGCAGGAAGTCCCGCACCACCTTAGTCATCCTCCGACCGCCGGACCTGGCGCAGGGGTGGAGAGGAGGCAGCTTTTCAGATGCTTTCCCACTGTGCCTGCCTCACCAGAGGGCCTACAGGAGCTCAGCCTCTGCAACCCAGCCTGTATCCAGGGTGGCATCAGCAAAAGTCACGGGAAGGAGCCTGAGCCACGGGGTTGAGAGACCCTGGTACCGCAGGAAGGCATCTGAGCCCAAGGGGAGAAAAGGAGGCGTTAGCTGGAGCCATGGCCTCTGTGAAGGCCATGGAGCCCAGCCTTCAGCCCTTTCAGCTCCTGAGGGTGTCAGTGGATATAAAGAGACCAGCTTCTGTGCTCAGGGGTCCTCCGGGACTGCTGGAGGAGGCTAAGGCACAGGCATGGTTCCAAAATCTGCCCTAGCCCATGTGCCTCTTTGTTACATTAACTTCTACTTAACTTCCATCTTTAATCAGTTCAAGCGACACCTCCTCCAGGAAGCCCTTCCTGAATTTTAGACTCTCTGAGGTCTTTGATCTCCCTAGTACCCTTAGACTATTACTCAAGGCCCTCCCAGTGGCCAACAAATTCCTCTCCGATTTGGCGCCCTGCCTGGATCTGCTACCTCCTCTCCCTCCCTTCCTCTTTGTTCTACTTCCTAAGTTTGTTAGCCCCTCAAGGCTTTGCCCTCCCTGTTCCTTCTATTTGAAATGCTCCTTCCTTCTGATCTTCCATGGCTGCTCCCTTCTCATTCAAGCCTCGATTCCCAAGTCATTTCCTTAAAACCACAAAAGCTGAAGTGCACCTGCCCCCTCATTCTTTACCATGTACCCCTATTTTACCTTCTTCATTGCAACTTATTAGCATCCAGAAAGGTCTCATTTGCTGGCTTCCATGTTGATTTCCTGTACTCCTCCCACCTTAATTGAAAATTTCCCAAGAGCTGGGTCTTTGTCTGCTTGGCTCACTGATTTATCACTAGAGCCTAGAACAGTGCCTGGCAGAGAGAAGGCCCTCAATAAATATTTATCTCCAAGGAGCCCTCCTTGGACTCCCCAAAGGGGTTAAGAACCCCTCTTTGGGTTTCCCTGGCTCCCTATCATTCTTTCTATCACTGTATATGGTCCTCCCTCCCCACTCCCTGCTGTTTCATGTCTGTGATCTCCACTGTCTCCTTGAAGGCGGGGGCTGGGTTTCAGGTTTAGAATGCCATGGCTAGCACTGGGCTTGGCACTTGGCTAGGGCATGGGAAATACCTGATGAATGGATGAGTGGCTCTTGAGTAGAGGAAGGAGAGGAGGTGGGCAAACGGGCACTGCCTGGCTAGTGGCCTCCCCCCAGAAGGTAGAGCATCCCATGTGGCTCAGAGGGACTTGGTGCCCAAATCCTGGCTGATCCCATGTATGCAGGTTGCTGGCAGCCCTTTTGTGAAATGAGGACCCATAGTACTCACTCTTCCAGTGATTGTCCTGACCAAGGAAGAATCTGCCTTTTCATTGGGAAGAGGGTCACCTGGGGAGGGGTGATGGTATTGTGGACAGGCCAGGGAGCCAGGGACTCATGCTTTGGGGCAGGGCCATGTCTTCTGAGCCCTCTTTTGTGTATGGGCCACCCCAAGGACTTGATGGTACCCTCCCACTCAGCCTCTTTCGGTTACCTTCTATGGATTCCTTCCTCCCTTCCCTACCTGGTTTAAATCTCATTATATACCCTCCCATTTTGGGAAGAGCTATTTATTTAGTTTTATATTAGAACCTAAGTCATACTAAGATATAAAGGCTAACTTGGTTTTATTTCTAAGAGTGTCTGTATCTTTTCAAAGTCACAGAAGGGGTTCATTTTCCCAGCCAATCGCTCCATGTGTGAGCAACCCAGGCCATTCCTAAAGAGAAAGAGTAACTTCTCCACCCCCATTTCCCCCAGCCCCACCCAGGCCTCTCTTACAGAGGAAAGCTGCTCCCGATGAGGATCCGGCCCAGGGGGTATGTCTTGCCATTCACAGTCACTGGTGGACTGACCTCCAGGTTCCCAAAGGAATCAAGGCTGGTGACAGGCTCAAAGAGGGGCTCCCGGGTCACGTAGCCAAAATCTGGGCCCTGGGCAGAGGGCACACACCCATCATTAGTCTCCTGTAGCCAGAGGTCCTTAGCCCCAGCTCAGCCACCCACTGATGACTACTCTTTCACCACCTTCGGTCTGGCCCTGTGGGCACTTGGTTTCTAGGGGTCGTCTTATTCCCACTGAAGAGCAGGGGGCAAGGCATGGGGAGGCTGAGTTTGTGGGCAGGTTGGTGTGAGGGTAGGCCTACATGACCGTATATAAGTGTGGATTAGTGTGTGTGTGCACTGGGTCTCTGCATGTGCCTCTGCTTCTAGACACAGAGACATTTTGGTGACTTCAGGGCTAGTTCTCATTTTGTGCTGTTGACATCCCTGCTCATCCCTATTTATCTGACCCTCAGTTTCCTCATCTGTAAAAGAGGTGTTGGATTCAGTACCAGAGGGAAGGCGGTAGATTGTATCCTTGTTCCCAGAGACTTGCTACCGTCTTCCCAGGAAGAGGATTTTGCATCCTGAGCCATCGCTGGTATGTGGCATCTCCCAGTGGAAGGAATAGAATTCCCCACCCAGTGTTGGACTCGGTCATGTGACTAGCTTTGGCCAGTGAAATGTGAGCAGAAGTGACACATGCCAGTTTAGAGCAGAAGCCATAAGATCCTCTGTGTATGTCTGACAAATTGTTCTCTTCTCCTTGTGCTAGGAGAATGGCGTTTCTCAGGCTGGGGCTGTTCCTGCAGCCTGGGCTCTAGAATGGGGAAAGCATGAGGAACGAGGGCTGCCGACAACCAACCAACCGTCAACACAGAGTGCAAGCAAGAGATGGACCTTTGTTGTTGTCAGCCACTAAGTTTTGGGGGTTGTTTGTTACTGTAGCTGTACCTAGTAAAAGCTGACCAATACATGCAGGAATGGCAGATATGTAACATATAGACCATCCCCACCCATTCCCAACCACCTGTATTTGTTCACTGAGCCTACAGAGAGCCTCAGAATCCTTCTTAGAACAGAGCTCCAAAAAACTAGAGTTGGCACACAATATAACCCCAGGGACCCCTGAATTTTAAGGTTCCTTTCAGGATTTTTTGGTGAAAAAGTAGGGCGCTTGCTTGGGAACCTGCACTGGGGCTGGAACTAAGCTTGTCTGACAAAAATTCTTGTTAAAAAATCCCCTGAGGTGGGAAGATGTGACTTATTCTGGCCCAGCGGAGAGACTCAAGGGACAGCTGTGCCCAGTGGCATGGATGGCTGCAGCCTAGCGCTTTCTCGCCTGGGAGCCCCACATGGCAAGGTGTGATTTGCTGGAAGCTGGGGCAGCTGGGCTTTCGGGCATCACACAGGCAGGCAGGCACATAGCACAAAGCCGGGCTTGGCCCAGGCCCCCAGAAACAATGCAGCCCGGGACCTTGGCACCAGGCCAGCCTGGAACACTGAAGGCAGGTAGTGACCTGGGAAGAACGTGAGAACAGGAGCTGGGAGGCCTTGGTTCTCAGGCCTGCGGCAACCGCTGCTGGGGGCCAGTTTGACTCTACCCTTCACAGGGTGGGAAGAAGCGGACAGTCCTCACCGAGGACGATGTCCAGGGCTGTGGCATGACAACTGTAATGGCGGCTAATAATGATCATTGTATTAGGTGCAGCGGGACGCCTTCTAGGTGCCTTCAATCTTCACAGTGATCCTGTGAGTGGAATACCATTTCCATCCCCATTTACAGATGAGCAAACTGAGGCTTGAGGAGATTAAGCTGCTTGCCCAAGGTCAAGGGGTAGAACAAGATGCAAGGCCAGGCTCTACCACCGTCTCCCTGTGGTGAGGGCTCTAGGGTAGGGAAGGTTCTCAGGAAGTAGATGTGAGCCTATGAATGTCTCCAACTCAAGCAGAGGTTGCCCTGCACGTGACCTTGGGAAAAGCCCCTGACCTATCCCAGTCTCTGCTTTGTGCTCTGAGCCTCCCCTGCCTGTTCAAGGTGGAAGGTGAGGATAAAAGAGGCAGGTTTTGGTTCTTCTGCCCTCACTGCACCAGTGGTTACGGGCATCAGTGGGAGTGGTAATGGCCTCTAGAATCAGGGGGTCGGATTGTTTTTAAAAACACACACAGACTGAAAACCACAGCTTCAGTGAGCTTTGAAGTTGGAACCATGATTTTCGACAGCTGCTTAACTATAATTTTCCTCTTTGAAACTGATTTTTCTGCAAGTTGGGGGTGGGGCAGGGGCAGGGGCGGGAGCTGTCTCTTTCCCATAGTTCCCATTTCCTACGAGAAAACTCTCCTAGGAGTAAATTTTTTTATCCAAGGGATCGAGAAGTCTTGTCAGGGTGCTTTTCACTCCTGCCTTCCAAAGTGAGTGATACTGATAACAATAGTGCATTTATTGAGCACTTGTGGTGTGCCAGGCCCTGGGGAGTGGTCACCCTTTCCTATGAGAAAGGTCTCCAAGGAAAGGACCATGGAGGTCACTATCCCAACTGACCCATTCGGCAGATGAGAAGATGGAGGCTCTGGGCAACAGACTAACTTGTTAATGCTCCCAGGTCTCCTGCCCACTCTGTCCTGTAAGAGTCCCCAGGATCGTTTCCCCTATCCCCCCACCCCAAGGTGGCCCTCAGCATCTCACCAGAAGCTGCTTCACTGGGAAGTCCTTCAGGTTTCCATCTCGGGGGGAGTCCAGGACCACGGGGAAGCCTTTGTGGGGGGCCTCTATGTAGCCAAACTCAACTTCATCCTGTGGGGACACCAAGGAGAGCCATCAGACGAGCCAGCCTCCCTAGTTCTCCTCACTAGCAAGCGATGGCAGGGGCTCCTTACATAGCCTTCTTCAAATAGTTTCTGCATGCTCCGAGCATGTTTGTACTCCTATCAACCCCATTTCTTAAAACATAATCAATAACATTATCCAGTCTCTCTTGGGGGACAGCCTTTTGCTACTTCAAGAAGCAATGCTGCAGTGAACTGCCTTATACATTTTTCTCTGTGCACATGTACACGTATGAGCCGACAGCAGAATTCCCATACATGGAGCTGCTGGGTGCCAGGGCACTGATGTTGGGCCAATTCTTCTTGCCTGAGCCATGGGACACATCCCTCTCAGCCCGCGGTGCCTCACCTGGATCCAGCGGTCACCTCGGTTTACATACTGGAAGCAGACCTTCAGTTCACAGTTGGTTTTCTCAACCAGGTTCTTCACCTCTTTCAGGAACAAGTAATTGTCCTTCATGCTGAGAATTTCAGGAAAGAGAGGGAGGCCAGGAGGAAGGGTGAGGAGGGACGAGGGCCAGTCCAACTGAGGTGGCAACAAGCAGCTTTCACCTCTGGGTTGTGCTGGGCAGATGAGGCCACAAATGTGTTCGTAGTCAGCCTTTGTGAAGGCTGCTGGAGCCAAGGCCAAGCAAGCTCCTCCACTCATGGTGTTTGCTAACGTCATGAACACATAAAACAAGAAGGGGGACTCTTCCTCCCACCCACCCAGATTTTTGGAGAGCTGTGTCTAGCCCAGAGGCAGGGGATTGGCCCAGGGCCTCAGGGTCCCACTTGTCATGGCCAGCAGGCACCTGCAGGGACTCCTTTCCCTTGTTTCTCATCTTGCTGCAGCTGTCTAGCACATAATAGGTGCTCAGAAGAAGAAGAAGAAGAAGAAGAAGAAAGAAGAAGAAGAAGAAGAA